TATTCATTCATTTGCTAAGCAATTATGAAGCAAGGGATTGGTATGAAGCGGCCGTGATGCTGCATGCATTATGTGTACAGATATGCAGCCGTATCTTCGGTAGCGGTGATTGGTAAGATGCCTACGGGAAACTCGTCCGAAATCGATTTACAAGTCACTGAGAACGGAGGCTTTTTCTTCGCAGGATTTTGACCGTTTCACTCCGTTCTTTCGCCATTTCCCCACTATATAGCGCCCTACTAGCATTTTAGGCCGAGCACCAAATCATCGTGCCAACTGCCTTTAAACGTCATATTGCGATCGTACACCGTGTGTTAAAGACAAACTCCCGCGATTGTATATTGTACATAGCAGCGTTCAATTGTGTACAAACCTCGCTAAATGGCTCTCTAGGAAAGAAAGAAGCAAAAAAATCATGGAGAACATTCTGAGCAAGGTGCTGGCTGTTTTCTGGGCGAGTTCTCCGGACGTGCTCGTTTTATGCCAGCAAGAGATGCACCGTATCTGGCTCACTGATCGTTTCTTCGCGTCAGCCAGTGCCAGCAAAAAGAAAGAAAAACGAAAACGCTGTGTAAAATCCGCATGACAGGGGAATAGCCTTTCAGTTTTGTGGGCGGTTAAAGGAGCGGTCCGCGATGACCTATGAAAATGCAAGAGGTTATGTGGGAAGGTAGTGCGGTCCGGAGTGGACAACTTTCGCGGCGGAAAGTTGTACGGTAAAGGGATTAAGGCGCAAAGTTGCTTCAGTGGTACATCCCTTTTTCCAGTGACTCCGCCTCCAGACTCCGCCTCCGAAGTCGGCCTTCCACTCCTACTTCCACTAGTCAGGGCCGCAGCGCCTTCGTTACTTACTGTGCGGTCGCAAAAAAAGAGATAATCTTAAGGACTGAATACTAGACTGCTTGATCGAGGAAAGAAGCTCAAGAACTGCTTGAGCGCGAGGACTGTCTTGAAGGAGCTAGCTACTCACCAGCGAATGGGGCTGCACATGGTCGAACAAACGTAGACATCAAAAAAGCGGAATATCAAGCTACTGGTCCACACGATGAAGGGCTTTCAAATAGTACAACTTACAAGGGAGGACTTTCGCAGTCATGGCGCGCGCTTTCATGAAAAGTTTTATTTAGCATGTGGTGCGGTCCATTATGAATGGATCACAAATATGGCTTCGTTTCTGGCTACACGTGTTATGGGCAAGGTTCCAAAAAATTGGGTGAAAGTTTTGAAAAGCGATTCTTGAACCATTTTTTTTCTAAGCTGCTTTTCCATTTCTAATGCTGTGAGTATGCATAGCAAGGTGAAACCTTCGATGCGGACACTGCCATCGAAGACAATACAAGATTACGTTTTTAAGGGACTTTATATTTGGCACACCGTGAGGTAGCATTGTAGTTTCTCCAGTGGTTCTCGCAGCATCCCAACCCGTAGGCAGGGTGGAGGCGGGGTGTAATCAGAGCCATGTTGGTCGCCAAATGGTCTACGTGCAGATTATTAAACGTCGACCGTGATCAGAGCCGCTTAACCAACCCCTATATCCTATACCTTTAAGCATAAATTTTTCTCCTCCCGGGAGCTGGGTGGTCGAGGCTATGATTGATATATAGATTTAAATGGTGGGTTAATCAGTATCTAATGCTACAACATACTTATCCAGCCTTCGAATTTTCTAGTACCTCTACTAGTATATACTCTCCATTAACTAACACTACATAGGGGTCTAAGTGGAAGAGAGCATACATATTGCTATTGCCTATACTTATTCTACACCTGGAAAGTTAAAGTGGAACCAGTTACGCTGGGTGCGCTGATCGGGTGCCACTGCCAACCAAGTGGTCGGTCCATTATCACCAAAACCTCCGAAATTTTTTTTGCTGGAAGTTCGTATACAGGAGTAATTGGTAGCCCCGCTCACGATTCTGACACTTATTTTATGCGCCGAGGCCATTTGACATGGCGCTTAACAGCCCCTGCGTGCGGGTTGACAACGATTTCAGTGCAAGAATGCTCTTGCAGCAAATCGGCGATAGGTTGCGCCGTGGTCAAAAATGAGTGTCGTACTCGTGAGTAGGGCATCCAGTCATCCCCGTAGCCCAACTTTCAGCAAGAGTTTCCTCAGTAATGTTTCGAGAGCGCAATAGTTAAGTAGGGTCGACTCGTGAACTTTGAGTGTACAGAATGAGGTCTTAAATGGCATATATCCATGTTATATACATCATCACGCACGCAGGAACACAAGGAGACGGAAATCCGAAAATGCAAAAAGTATCCGAAAAATGCAAAAAGTTCGTCGCCAAGAGGATCCGATCCACGAACCTCTTCTCGAGAGCCCACCGCACTATCCACTCCGCCATCCGTCGACCACGAAACAAGGTTGCGGGAAACGTTGAAGTAACTTCGGTACTACTTTTCTCCATGCACTTTCTTTTTGACTTTATTTTGCTCTCTTTTCGATACATAGTAAAGGAACACCTCATAAACTATGCACTCTCAAGGTTACAACTACAGCAGAGCAGAGCTGCAGTCAAAATCGCCCTTTTTTCAAATTGTTTTCACTCATTTTTTGGCATTCCCATAAACGCATAGCAAAAACGAAACCCATTTTTGTGACCCTTATATGGACCCCTACAACATGCAACAAACCATTTCCAAAAAGCGCGCCATGACCTGAAAGACCTCCCTTGTTAGGAAAACCGATCCTTATATTCACGTAGGAATGGACCGCGCAGTCACGTAGGAGACAGTTTGATCGGTTTTTCTAAGATGCACTTTTTAAAAATCCTTCATCTGTGGACCAATAACTTGTTATTTCGCTTTTTTATTGCCTATTTTTGTTCGTCTATTTGCAGCACTCTGATGAGCGTATCAGAAAAAAGGAGGGCAGCTTGAACTCATTGAGCTCCTTTGCCAATTTTTAGTCTTCTACCCCTCATAGAGACTTTCTTCTTGCACTTTTTCTCTCGTTCCAAGCATAACGTTATAGAGTTTTTTGTATGGTTTCTCAGATACGCTCTTCCGACAAGTCATCAGTCCTTTCCAGTTCCACTAATTCCCCTTTAAGGAGCGATCTACCATTATTATCTTTGGATGCCATGACACGAGTATTTAGCAGCTCCACAATTTTCACATTAGCAAAAATTGCAGGACAGGCTTGTGCATTGCTTTTCCAACTTTATTTCCATAACGATACTGTTTAAGGACTTCTACACGTTTTCTAATCAACGGGTGTTCGTTAATGAAAACAAGGAGCTTTGGCATTACAGTACCCTACAGGAAATGCTCGGCATGACCACATTGGATCACAATGCTGTGAGTTCAATACTTTTATAAAACTGGTTATATTAACCGGAGTATTTTCAGAATCGCTGCGAAAAAGGCTATTTGACGGGCAAATCGCAATTTCGGTTCGCATTCAACTTACCGTGCGATCTCGCGACCTCATTCAGTTGTCCAGGGAGTCCGGTTGCTGTGAAATACTCTATAACTGTGAGTTTCTTCTCAAGCTTTACACAAATAGAGGATGTCTGGAGGGTCGCTGAGAAGTGATTACCGATATTTAGTTTTCACTTCAGAATTTTAGTAAAGAAAATTTCGGTGCAATAGGCATCTTCACCTAGACACGTGCAGTCTTCTTCGCTGCGTACGCTGGGGCGTTTCAATAGGATTGGGATCGGCGCGGCTCCAGCCTGAGTGAAGAGCAAGTGCGGGAGCTTGAAGGCGACCACAACTGGGGGAAAACTAGGTGGCGCCGCGACAAACCTAGCCCTACCTTCTGAAACGCACAGCATCCGTTAGAACAAGACCGCAGAATACTTTCTACTCTTTCGGCGAATTTCACTGAGTAGAGAAAGCCGCGTGCAGCCAAATCTTACCTAAAGTTTGGAGGACTCCAGTTTTCTATTGAAGTCTGGCCTGAAAAGTGCGATCTGTACCCACTTTCGCTTTCCGGCCGATTGTCAGAGCAACAGCACGGTCTGAGTCGGGGTTTCAACTGCAGACGAGACGCTTAATCGCCAACAAGAAACCTCAGAGTAGCTTCCATTTGCTTTCTCTTTTGAAAACAGTAGTAAACAAATTCTCAGTGCAATACATATGGGGACGACTCCGTACCCACTTAATCGATTCAAGCGGAGTGCAAAGCTCGACTTTCCTAGGACCAAACTTTTCCTAGAAGAACGGAATTTCTCCTCTTATCATACGCGAGGTAAGGTGGCGGTGCTGGCCACCTATCGCGGCAATCAGCCGGGCGGTGTCAGGAGAGGCGAAAGGGACCCGCCTCCGCGGCTGCGGTTTCTACCAATAGTGATCGGTTAGCTCGATTCACAAGACAGTGGCGAAAACACCGCAGGGGGGCTCATCCACTTCTTCCTGACACCCGCCGACTGACTGGCCGCGATATCAACTGAATTAATACTGTATCTGAATTTTAGAATATACAAAATTGAATACCAAACACTTGTTAGTAATCACACTTTCAAAGCCTGTTCAGCTATGTTGACGCCTCTACAGCAACAAGCAGTCGTCATTTAAAATAGCAGCATGGCCACTGGCGGCTTTCCTTGCCTTTCAGTAAATAGTGCCGCAGCTTCACCTTCCAAAGTGGCTCATTGCTACGACTACTGCTGCAAAGTTCTTCATAAGGTATCGCCATAAGTGAGGGTGTGAACTCCTTTGGCGCAACTTTAAAGCGGTTGAAGCTGAGCATGGGCTTGTGGCCAACCAGTATTGCAAACTGTCTCATATACGCGGCAGTTACACCCGAGTTCAGATTTGGAATCGTTGCTAGTTGGTTTGTTCGCGTCATCGCAACGAGCAAACGTCACTCCCCCTTCCTCCACCCAAAGCCAGGCTAGTATTCACCCTGTGAGAGCGACAGCCACCACTTAATGAATCGCACCACGAGTATAAACCTCTCTGAATGCTGCGCCTATACTGTACATACCTATTCGTTTTATAACACATCTTGTTCTAGATTTTTATCTAACCTAGACTGAACCGTTGCAAGTACATCGGAAACCAGTTTTAGATAAAGTCTTTTCGTTGCAGGTCCGGTCCAATTCTTTGAAAGTGTGAATGAAAGTAAGATTTTGATATGAATGAGTGTGTAAAGAAGCACGTCATGTGGAACGGATCTGAACAGTGGTCGTTGTTCTAACGCATATTTTGACAACCTGCAAAAATAGGTAAAAACACTGTCAATAATGCAATCATTTCGCCAGTGGCCATTACCCAGAAAACATGGTTACTGATTAGAAGTGAATAGAGGAGATCACGCAAGAGTACGTTTGTCTTAAGAAGATAAAAAGATATTGCACTCTTTGCCGTACTTGTCTGAAAGCGATAGTTGTCCATTTTTTATGCGCTCCGAGATGAGACGCGTAGAATTTAACCCGGGGAGAGAGCTTGGATAAGCAGAATTAGCCGATACATTTGGCCACTTTGCCGTAACGCCTCACACTTTGCCCTTGGAAAATAACAATAAAGCAACCATTTCGTGAATTTCTCGAAAAAGCGGAAGAGGTCAAGTGGTCATGATTATGCGGCGCAAGTCAAATAGCCTAATTGTCTGTATGCATGGTGATTAGCACTAACAAGAATGCCTCGGCCGCTGTAACTAAAGTTTGTGGGTGCGTGAGCCTTCGCGTGGCGCTAGCTGCTTTCCTTAGCTCATTTAACATCCCAGTCTACAACGATAACTAGAAAAACGGCGCCTCGTGCTCAAAGTAGTTGCCTCGCAGCGACTCCAACATCTTATTCGCGGCGAAAATGCCAATCTTTCTTCTAAGAAACCATGAGTTGTAACGCCTTCGTTGTTACGTCATGTCGCCATTACGTTGTGTGAAAAGCGAGATATCTCACAAATCCAACACGGCTAGTATACATGACAATATCCACCAACATTTTCTGTCATTCAAAGGCAGTTGGCACGATGATTTTCCTACTTACTTCAGCCTCAAATGCTAGTAGGGCGCTGTATAGTGGGGAAATGGCGAAAGAACGGAGTGAAGCGGTCAAAGACCTGCAAGAAAGGCCTCCGTTTTGAGTGACTTGTAAATCGATTTCGGACGAGTTTCCCGTAGGCACCTTACCAATCACCGCTACCAAAGATACGACTGTATATGTGTAACCATGTGTGCATGCAAACATTCACGGCCGCTTCCATACAATCCCTCATCATTAATGTTGCCCTCAGCAAATGAGTGATACGACGGTCAGGAACGTCGTCCAATGTGCAGCGGCGGACGTAGGCGGTGCGTTTGGGACGTATCTGTGGCTTGAGTAGGACCCTTATCAAGGGGCCCACCTTTTTCGGGGATACCGCCTATGCAGCGCCTGGCCAGGGTCGCGGAATTCTATTCTGCCCGGAGTGTTGATCCCAGTCGTCTTGGGGGTCTAGGAGTCTTTATTGTGCCAGCTGCCTCTCGATGGAAAAGGCGTCTTTCTGCAAACGGTGCAAGATGGAGAAGTCTGGTTGGGATTTCGAACGAGGCCAGACAAAAGACGCCGAGAGAGCACACCAAAAGCGAAGCGACAGACACCAACGCGGAGCAGAACCACTTGCGCTCACGTGGGCTACTAGAGCAACATTACACCCCTATCTTACAACCAATTTGGCTAACTCACGCTCCCGCGCGCACCAAATGGGAACCCTATGTGGAGGTCCCCTTCATCGACACGAAATCTTCACCTTGCATTCCGAACACTCTTCCTTCTCAAACTTGATTGCGACTCGTCACCGTCTGTTTGGTTACCCACCGTCGACTTCACCATCTCTATACCACTTGCTGGAACCAAAGCCTCGCTATGCTGTGACGTGCCTTGTATGCGTGGGAACCTTTCTCTTCTAACGTCCCTTGTCGAATCTTATCAGTTGCGAATAGTCCTTGCCACCTATCAATAATCTTCCTGTTCCATACCCTGCATATCATATCCTGGACACAACGTCACAACGTTGCTGCAACGCATGTATGAATTTCGTGACACACACACACACACACACACACACACACACACACACACACACACACACACACACACACACACACACACACACACACACACACACACACACACACACACACACACACACACACACACACACACACACACACACACACACACACACATTCTTAGCGATTATATAGTAGGATGTTTCTGCGACAGGTCCTGCTGGCTTACTCTTATAGGGGCTTTGACTCTAAGAAATAGTCAATGCACTAAGTTTCCAGGGGCCGCATTCCTAGGAAGTGGAAGACAGGAAGTGCGCGCATAAGTGAGGTTGTAAAATGTGTATGTTACGTAGCGTTGGTAATAAGCGGTTAGTAATTCGGTAGGGTTAACGCGTCAAAGTAAATCCTGAGTTGCCTGTGAGCAACCCAAAACGAACAAGCTAGTTGATGATCACGCGGGGACTCAATGAAATTGTAAACGCGTTCGATAAAATGCTCAGTTTTTTATGTAAATTTCACGATAAAAATACCATCACTTGTGGACCAGCGCAATATGATGAACAGTCTTCTCTCACTTCTTTTCTTGTCATTCTGCTCAGGGTACCATTACTCCCTAGGCATCATATCCAATCTCTCAAATTTGAAGTGACAGAAACCAGTTCTTCACATGATTTTCTCCAGCGAATTTGATGTTGACCGCTTGCTCACTCGAAAGATCGGATTGCTGTTCGTCTCGCCTTGGGTATGGGTAGGATACTATGAGACAGTCAATATGGTGGCAATTGAGCAGCAGTTCAGGCTCTACCCGACTTTTTCAATTGTGGACATGGAGGCTAAGGCCAACTGCCATATTCGCCCGACCACATTTATTTATTTATTTGCCATGTCAATTACAATATGTGGCACCTCATTAGATCAATCCATTCCCGAAAATATACAACTCGCGAAACTCTGACCTTCAAGGTTCATGAAGAGGTTAACCCAACGGGGCGCTCGTGTTTACGCAGTAATTCTTATGTAGCCTGCAGCACCATTTCAGACATTGGTGCACAGCGATATTGCATCGAATGATTTTATAACACGACCTCCCTGAAGGTTGGCATTGGATAGCTCATGCAGTGGATTTTCGGTATTCGTCATGGGTGGGATATATTGAAGCAGTTTTCCCAAATTTACAACAAGAAACTATAAAATTTTATCGGTGGGACCTCCAGTGTGGTTCATCATCGGCTTGACCTTGATCGGATCACTTGAGCTCAAAAGTTGCAGTGGGTGAATTAGTGAGTCTTGATCAGAAAGTAAAGGAAAGGACAAAGTGGGCCAGATCTACAACATACTTCTGCAATGCATGTGATGTCTGATGATGCATAATGCTGTTACCAGGGCTGTACGCTTCGGCGGCGCTTTTCAAAGCCTGTTAAGTTTCGAACATTGTTGACAGGTCAACTTGATAGCGTACAGCTGTAGCGCGACCGTGCGCTCACGTCGCGCTACAATTGCTACCAAAACTCCAGCTTTCCTTTATGTTTTCTATCTAAATTCAACCCCTTTCCTTTTTTCTCATGCTTTACCTGATGCTGAGCTCTCTTTAATACTTTAATCAATTTTTAAGTGTTAATGTAGATTGTGATTTAATGTAGTTTTTGATAGAGAACGCTGTGATGATTGATTTTATATGTCGAACAGCGATCGTCCTCGTATAGAATGAAAACATTTCGCAGTCGGGATCAACACAAGGCACCACTACAAGACATTAAACATCAATAGCAACTCTGAAACTAAATAATTAAAGTCGAAAACAACATAGTCTTCACAGTGCGCCTAAGAGTAGAAAGAGGAGCTCAGCATCAGATAAACATGAGAAACAAAGAGAAAGGGGTTGAATTCAGAAAGAAAAAAACATAAAAGGAAGCTGGAGTTTGGTACAATTGTAGCGCGACGTAGCGCTACGTAGCGCTGCAAGTTGAACGCTGCCTTAGGCTACGTTCATAGTTTGTGGCAGCGTCCACCAGCGACCAGCAGTAACGAATATGGGGAAGTAGGAGAATGCTGCTTTACAATTCCGCACTCCTGGTCGCTAGTGGACGCTGGTGGTCGCCGGGGGACAGTGGTAGACCCTAGGTCGATAACCATACTTTCCGTCCCTCGATACGCTGCTGTTCGCTAGATCAATACTTACTCCTTCCTAGTTGCTGACGCTGACGGACGCACGAAACGCTGGTGGTCGCTGGAGGACGCTGACGCAAAGTGTGAAAGCAGCTTTACAGAATCTTCCTTCGTTGATCTGAAAATGAATTGCTATCTGAACGCGTTGTCGGACCATTGTGGAAGAAACACAAATACCTCACCTTTTTCGCTAAGTGCTGCATGGGAAGTCCCTCGGTTCCAGCAGAGATCGATTTTTTCCATTTTTCTCCTTTCACTTCCATTAATTAGAAGTGCATTTTGACAGGCGGACAGGTTAGCGTTCAATGAGTGATGTTATTCTGCACATTGGATTCGCTGCAACAGCAGTGAAGGAGGCGCTGCAAGTACTGTCGCGGTATCCGCACCAAAAACAATGATGCAATACGGTAGTGCTGCAGGCTAGTTAGCTAACCAATAATTATTCTATGTAGTCCTCAGATATCCATCCTTACCAATCGCCATACCGTGTGATGCACCATTTACAACACTCGGCCACCAGGAGATAGATCGTTTCAATTGGCTTCAGAGGCACGATCGTTTGTTCCGAAGTTGGGGAGTCACCTTTTTGGACTTTCGGTGACATACTTCTTAACTAATGAAATAATCGAATTTGTACTACCACAGATGAGAGCAGGAACGAACTGAAATGATACGGAAGTACGGGTACAGCGACGGTCAATGGGATGATACAAACTGCGCTCCGTACAAATGGAGCTCAGGCAATTGAACTGAAGAACAGCCATGAAGTTGCCGTGCATTTTGTCACGTCAGGTCAAGGACAGCGAACGATAACCTTGGTTCACACCATTTTCTAGCCATCTGCACTTCTACTAGAAAAGCCGATAAGCTAGACATTAACCATAAGTGGTGCTTCGACAGAGGAGTGAGCTCACCACATGCTGCGAACGTGAATAATGAAGAGTGACATGCACGATTTGCGTCTAGTGGACGAAAAGTTTTGAAAATCAGCAGCGACGTTCGCGTCACAGATACACAGACGAACAGATAGTTGTTTTCGCTGCAGACGCTGGGGCGTGCCACTAGGGTTGGGTTGGGTGGTGCTAACTAGTTTTCCGTGGCGGCATGCCCGCTTCGAACATCGGTGGAGAACAGGGTAGCGCTGTGCCAAACAATGCCTCTCCTCCACCCCCTTAACACGCCCCAACATCCGCGGCGAGGACGACTGTTCGTCATGTGCTGCAGACTCATGGTCGGAAACCATTATTCTATTTTTTGATTTATGTGACTGAGCGTGTGAGTGATCCGATTGAACTTTGAAGGGCCAATAATAGGTAGTCGAATCATTCCTTACTGACATCA